ATGAAAGACAATGCCACCCAATTGCGAAAGAAATGAAAGCACTTGCAAAGAGATAGAGACCAGAGGAGAGAGAAAGAAGAAGAAGAAGAAGAAGAAGAAGAAGAAGAAGAAGAAGAAGATGTGCACCAGCAAGACCAATGACAATTCCCCCTTCTCTCTCTCCACCTCCTCCTCCTCCTTCATTTCGCCAATCTTATTCTTCTTGTCAATAATAATAATAACAATGAATGGATGAACCAGAATCAATATCCGAAGTTCCCTCTTACTGCTGACTCAACAACAACAACAACAACCAGTCCACCATAGYTATGGCTTCCCTCCTTCTGCCTCCTCTCTCATGCATAGGCTATGGCGGACTGCTGAGGGCCCTGCCCTCCTGTCCAAAGGACAACACAAAGCAGCTATGRCGCTGCACTCCTGTCCAAAGGACAACYCAAAGCAGCTATGATGCWGCTGACTGGTCCKCCATGCCTGACTCTGCCTCGAGCTTCCTTGATGCGGCACTACCCCAACTGGGGCCTTCCAGATGCAGTGCCCAACAAGGTGATGAAGACGGTGTCCACCATAGCCAGGTAGGTGCCTCGCCACTCTCCTAATTAGCCCCCCTTCTTCCTCCTCCTCAAGCTGGGCTGCTCGCCATAGCCAGGCTGAGCGCCAGCTGCCCTTCACCTCCAAGCAGCGCTGTAGCAGCCAGCGCTGCGCTCCAGCAGCATGTCGCCAATCCTTGCATACCGCAAATGAGGAGGAGCTACTTGCTCCTCCGAAAGATATAGCGGCCTACTGGCCTCCTGGGCGGTGACTTCCTAGGCCGAGCGGCCTCCCAGCAACCGGTACCTCCTCCCTTTCGGAGGGAAACATCATTGCAGGCTCTGCTAACCTCCGGACAGGCCCTAGACCCGGGCTACTTGGACTGGTACCGGCCTACCTCTATCCGACCGCTACTGGGCCTCTAAAAATGCAAACTTTTTCTCTTTTTCTGCTCGGCCTCCAGTAACCGACACTCCTACCACTACTCAAGTGGTACCGTCCTACCTGCTACTCGAGTGTTTTTCCCCCTTGCTCTAAGTGTCGCGGGCCTACCCGCGCTACTTGAGTGTTTACCCCCCTGCAACCCTCAAAGTCACGGCCACAGGTAAGTACCGGCCCTGCGGGGCCTTGCAACCAACAAGTACCCTTGCGGGTCACACACACTCAATCGACAAGCACTCAGACAGGCATGCAAACCAGCAGGCACGCACACACACACAGACATGGAAATCACATCAGAATGCGGGAATTTCAGCAAGGCATTCATTCCAGCGGCAAAAACCAGAAATCAGCAGTGTTCTTAGTCTGTGTTTTTGGCAGGTCATTACATTGCCCCCTTCTCAAGAGCGAGGTCCCTTCGAGCGAGTAACTCATTCAGAGTCGGCACAGAATGCATCGTAGGCGTAGATCAGAAAGTGGGACTTAGTAAGACCGTGGGGAGTCAGTTTTGCAGAAAACTTAGCAGTCTGTCCATCAGCGATCTGTCGTTCATAAGCGTTCACAACACGGGGAGCATTCTTTAGCAGCTCTTTTCGGACGATCTAGAAGAATTCGATCAACGGGTGATAGAGAAAGTGAACCTTGTACTGTCTGTTCCTCCCTCTTCCCTCGTGGGAAATAATTTTGTCTATCTCATGACCGCCATCGATAGGACGAGGTATCATAGGATCTTGGAAGGGAAAAGTCACATCATCGATGTGTGGAAACAGTTTGGATGCGTGAAAGACCGGATATGTGCGCAGATGAGGAGGCACGTCAATCACATACGAAGGACCAAAATCATCCCCAATCACCTTCAGAACCTGCCAAGGGCCATAGCATAATGGAAGAAGCTTCCGTGATACGCCCTCTTCATCAGAAAACTCAGACATTTTGACCCAGACATAATCCCCTACTTTGAAGTTTGCTTCTTTGCGCGACTTATTCGCGTGTTTGATCATGGCATGCTGACGCTTGTTCATTGCTGCGATAGCAGCTTTGAGCAGGCGTGCGTACTTGGCATTGTAGCCAGGCATGCCGGGTGTCAGACCAGGTGACCGTTCGGGGAACAGATAGGAGAAAGGATTGCGCAGCTGCCATCCGTACTGCAGCTGATTCGGTGTCATGCCAGTTGCGGAGTGAATGGAGTTCTTGTACAACCCCTTCACTTTGCGTAACTCCTTGTCCCATGTGTTCTGGTCTGGAACAATCAACGCGCGAAGTAGTTGGATGACAGTCTGGTTGATTTCCTCAACCAATCCATTGGCTTCGGGGTGTTGACCAGAAGTCTTGTTGAGTTTGATGTTGTAGATCTGAGAAGTGAAGTCCTTCCAATCTTTACTAATGAACCTGGTGTCCCGATCACTCACAATAGTTTTCGGGTGGCCAAACTGCAGAATGTATTGCTGATGAAATTCTTCGATGACAAGCTCAGTCGGGGCATGGGGAGGGAAAGGAATCAAGTTCAGAAATTTGGAAAAACGGTCCACGATGACCATGACTTGTGAATTCCCTGCCTCACTCACCTTTCCCATGTCCGTGAAGTCGATGGAAATCGGCTCACTGGGACCATCAGGAATGGGGAGGGGTCTCAGCAGGCCATAAGGCTTATGCCTGTGGACCTTGGTTCCTTGACATACTTGACATTCAACAATGAACTTTTGAGCAGATCCCTTCATTCCCGGCCAATCAAACTGCTGCAGAAGACTTCCATAAGTCTTCTCAAAGCCGAAATGTCCACTCCGAACATGTGCCAAATCCAAGAAATGAGTTCGGAGAGGCGCATGGTTGGGTACACACAAACGATCAAACTTCCCATACCGACGGAATACAAGACCCTCGCACTCATGAAAATCAGGCTAACTGTTAGGGTCAGCCTTGAGCTGCTCAAGGATGGGACTAAGGTCCGGATCCTTGGCGGTGTGTTCGACCAGATCCTCCTTCAGTTTCCTTCGGAGGTCATACGAACCCACAAGGCAAGTCAAAAACTCAGGATGGCGGGACAGAGCATCAACAACTCGGTTATAACAGCCTTTCTTGTGTTTCAACTCGAAGTTATAGACATCAATGTTATGCAACCAACGGGTCAGTGTAGGAGAAAGATCAGTTTGTGCCTTAATCCACTGCAAGGTTTGGTGATTTGAGTAAACCTTGAAGTGCCTACCCAAGAGGTAGTGCTTCCAATGTGTGAGCGCCTCGCGCAAGGCGTAGAGCTCACGCATGTATGTGCAGGTAGCTACCTTGTGGCTGGGCATGCGTTTGCTGTAATATTCGAGCGGACGCAGACCATCACCATCATCTTGTTGCAGCACTGCACCAATCCCAAACTGGCTCGCGTCTGTAGTAACTACGAATGTGAGGTTGGGATCCGCAATGCGGAGCACAGGATGACTCACCAATGCCTCTTTCAAGGCTTGGAACGCAGTCTCACATTTCTCACACCACGCATAAGCAACATTCTTACTTGTTAGTCTCGAGAGTGGGTGAGCAATGACATAAAATTTGGGCACAAACTTCCAGCAATACGAGGCCAAACCAAGAAAAGAACGCAGTTCGCGTCCGTTCGCTGGTTGAGGCCACTTTCGGATGACCTCAACCTTGGTTGCTTCCGGCTCAAGGCCGTTTGCAGACAACCGGTGCCCAAGATAGATTGCGTTGTCCCTGCCAAACTTAGATTTCTCTAAGTTGAGGTGCAGTTGTGCCTCCTTGAGGACCTGCAAAACTTCCTTAAGGTGCTTGACGTACTCTTCCATGGACTTGCTGAAGATCAGGATGTCATCGAGGTAAACAACAACAAACCTGTTGAGCTGATGGCGAAGAACCTTGTCCACGAGGCACTGAAATGTGGCTGGTACATTCGTAAGACTGAAGGGCATAACGATGAATTTGTACAGCCCATCGCGTGTTTTGAATGCAGTTTTGTGCTGGTCAATCGGATCAACTTCAATCTGGTGGTAACCAGACTTGAGGTCGATCTTGGAGAAGACCTTGCACCCTCCTACCGCATCTAGCAGATCATCTATCCGAGGCAAAGGATAAGCATTCTTTCTGGTGATTCGATTGAGGCCACGATAGTCAATGCACATCCGGAGTTTGCCTCCTTTCTTTGGCACAAATAGGACAGGCGCACTGAACTCCGACTCACTAGGCCTAATCCATCCACGGCCTATCATGTCATCAATCTGCCTCCTCAACTCCTCCAACTCGCCTTGTCCCATACGGTAGACACAACCCTTTGGAGGAACACTCCCTTCTATTATTTCGAATTTGTGTTTGACTGGACGCTCAGGAACTCCACGAGGTTCGGCCAAAACTTCAGGGAATCGATCTAATAGGCGACGAATGTTTGTTGGGACTTTCGGGGGAGGATCATCCTCATCAGGACAAAGAAAATCAGATCGAGAATTTACAGCAATTACAACTGGATTGGAAGTACTTGGATCAGAACTAGAAGGATTATTCACAGTACAAGTAGATGGAATAAAAGTAGAATTACTTACCGAGGTAGAAAATGCAGCAAAAGTAGAAGGCACATGGAGAGGCTTTACAAGAGCTACATGTACATGCTCAACTTCCTTGCGTGTGCGCACTGATTTGCAGAATTTGTTCGCACTCAAAAGAGTCACAGGGGACTCGCGCGTCTCGTCCAACAGAACGGTACGCTCGTTCCCCTTGGCATCACGCACCACGAACTGTTTATCCACCCATGTGGTCCTTAGGCAATGAGCCTTTAACCAGCCCAAGCCAATGACCGCGTCGAAAGGATACTTGTCCATGACATAAAAGTTCAGCTCATGTGTGACAGTGCGGTCCTTGTCAAAGGTGAAGCACACACCTTTGACAGCATGTGTTGAGGTGACAACCTCTTGGTTGCCCACCTGGGTCTGACAAGGGTTCTGCAACTCCACTTGCTTCATTCCCAGGCCCGCCTTACGAATCCCGTTAGGAGAAAAAAAATTGGTTGTTGAACCACTATCAATCAGCACGCGGATGTATCAGCGGTTAATGTTCAGCTTAAAGAAGGTTAATTCCATACTCCCTTGAACACGGCGTTGTTGCTTGAGCTGCAGCCAATGTTCCAAGTGAGCATGGAAGTCAACTTCCTTAGACTCCTCCCAAGGCTCAACGTACAATACTTGAACTGCAGCAGCCTTGGATTCAGCGTCGTTCCGGGCTTCAGGGGCAGGCTGTTGATCAGATTTAGGCTCCTTGGAGGGGCCTGCAACTGACGCTTCAGCTTCCCTTGTTGTAGAGAGTGTTGATGACTCTTCTAAGCCCTTTGCCTGTTTCCCTGCAGACGATAACAGTCCTGCACAGCGTGCCCAGGCTTTTGGCAATGCAAGCACACTCGCAGTTTGGATCTTCTTTCCCATTCTTTTTGACTGATGCGGAGGGCTTCCCAAGGCTTGGTAGAAGCGTCCTCCGGTTTCTCAGGGATCTTCGCATTCTTGGGGAGGTGTGCAATAGTTCCCCTACCCGAACCACGGTTAGGCCCCTTGCTTGAAGCAGTCTTTTTGAAAGCATCAAGTTTTTCATCTTCGTTCACGTCAGACTCAATGGCTGATGTAGAACAACCCATATCAGAGTCCGGCTCTAGATCGTCATCTAGAGATAGATCATCCGCGTAGGACTGATCTTCGGCCTCCCGATGTTCATGCAGGGCAAGCTGCTTGCTGCTTCCATACCGCTTGCGTTGTGATTTGCTACCTGCAGCGGGTGCCTTTGTACGCCTGGTGAGGTCCTTGGCCTCTAGGTTGACTAGATCCGTCATGAGCTCTCGCCAGGTGGTATGGTCTTTGAGTCCTAGCAGGGAGAGGTATTCTTTAGGGGCCACTCCCATGACTACATCCATGCAAGACACGTCGGTCATTCCCAGGTTTGGAGTGGTGAACAAACCAGTCAAGTGTTGTTCCAAAGCCTGCATGGAGGTCCTCCATGTTTGGCCCTTGAGGGCCTCAAGCTTCAGTCTTGCCTTGAGCGCAACGTGCTTATCTTGGTACTGTGTGATGAGAAGGTCCTCAAGAGTGCGTACAGGAGTTACTTTCAGCCACTCGGTCAGGTCAATCCTCTCATAACCTGCTGTAACAACTTGGAGTTCTATGAAACTCCGTACGGCGGCCTCAGTATTTGTGCCCATGATCATGCTTCGATCTTCCTACGGCGTTCGCAATACCTCGAAGTATGAGTGCATGGAGCTAATCCAGGAGGTGATGTCCCCCTTCCCGTCGTACTTGGACGGCAGCGTGGCCGCCCGCTTGTCCACTACGGGACCGCTGTACTGTATGCCAGTAAGAACTGTGGCGTTTTGGGCTGATGATCCTGCATTTGGGACTATGACTAGTGCAGAATTGCCGGCACTGCCGCTTGAGGAGCTGGCACCGGTTCCTGCGCTCATCACAGTTCCACTTGCTCATGAGGACTGTGTTAGATTGAGAGATTGGGACCGAAGCAGGTCGAGGGTTAAGAGGACGAGGGGCAGATAGTTGGGACTGTTTGAGGCTGAGTATCTCAGCCTGCAGCTCTTGGTTCCGCTGCTCCAGTGCTGTCACACGGGACTCAAGGTCTTCCAAGGCCGGCAGTCGAACCAAGGCTGCTACGGCAGCAGCTAGCCTCTCTTGGAACCGGTCAGCATTGGCTTCCGGGACCTGAAGGAGGGCCACGTGATCAGCAATGCTCGTGGTTCTGGCTGCTGCTTCTGCCTCCCTCTCCCTCTGTACGGCATTGTCGTAAAGCTTTTGGAAGAACGGTTTCTCGTTCTCGTCCGCTGCGTCCAGCATGGCCTACCACTGGGCAAATGTGATGTCTGCCATGTCGGAGGAAGGGGTGTTAGTAGATCTCTCAAAAGGGGTCCGCTCTCTCCTCATGTTTGGACGAACACTCCTCTTGCCCTTCCTCACACTCTCAAAAAGAACACCTTCTCTCTCACTTCTCTCTCTTTCCGCTGTCTGCGCACGCGTCTCAATACCGGACATAGATAGTTCAGATGAAAGAAACAAACAGTAAATCACACAGAGTAGAAGGTAGAACTCCTAGCCGGAGCAGCAATTCATTTGGACTTGGAGAATGGCATGCAGCAGAATAAAGAAAATAATAATAATAAAAAAATAAACGGAAGAGAGGACTGACTTATCGAACGGGCCCGATCAGATTAGCTGGAGATCCCCTCTTGTCTAACCTGATAAGGTACATGTACCACAATAAATCAGCCGAAGAAAACTAATTGCAGCAATGGAGATTTCGAGGGGTGCAGAAGGTCACCGAGCCAAACGCAGGGCAGTATGTGATAACATGCAGTAAGACCAGTCAAGATCCCCTTGAAAGGAATGCCCTTGCTAGCCGTATGTCCCCCAAGTTCAGCACAGCAAAGGGATGCATTGACCGCAACAGATTTGGGCCCAAAAGGTCTTGTCCCATCGGGCCTGGTCCCACTGAGTCCCAAAAATCCCAAGTAGGTCGTGGACCAGGACCAACGAGATAGGAGTACCAAGTCAGTTCCAAACTGCCTCTACCGTACTGAAAAGGAAAAGACAACTTTTAACAAGAACTCACCCCTACAGCCGTTCAGAAATGAAAAAGACAATGCACCGTAGAAAGATATGTCATTTAGAGCAGATACATCATCCATCCATCCATCAGGTGAGAAAGCAATCCACATGCTCACACACACAGCCAAGACCGTAGAGAAGAGGAAGAGAGCCCAGCACACCCCAACAGGCCATGAAGCACCAAGCAACCTCCCACAGGCTAACCAGGTCACACGGCACTTACCTGTGAGGCCCAGCCTCCAAAGATGGATAACGACTCACCCCCCTCTCTCATAAGTCCTCCTGACCCCTAGCTACCACTACACGAAGTGTCCTAGCATGACTAAGAGGGCCTCCCTACACCCCTATTGAAAAGTCGGATCCCCCGTCGATGCCTGGAGACCAAAGTAGCAACTTGCAGCAATTCGATGCAGATATGGCAGCCTCCGATCAAGTCTCCCTCTTGAGGGGAAGCTCAAAAGTCACTCAATGTCTTCTTGAAGTGCAGATTCCAGGTGCAAGTACCTCTCACTCTCTAATCCCTCTCGCTTACTCCAATCAGCCTCCTTTGTGTCTCGCCACCCCATCCAATCACTCCAGCGACCTGGTCAGGTCTGATGTCGACCCTACATGACCTAACCAGGTGGGGGCAGTATCCACATACCTCACTGCCCCACTTAACCCTAACTTCCTAACCCTAATCCGAGATTAGGTTAGCCCTAACCTAATTCGGAATTAGGTTTAGGGTGACTAACACCTCTCGCCAGCAAGTAAGTCCRCTCCGATACCAATTGTTACGATCCTGGTCATTYCCMAAGTGCAAATTCACAATGAAAGACAATGCCACCCAATTGCGAAAGAAATGAAAGCACTTGCAAAGAGATAGAGACCAGAGGAGAGAGAAAGAAGAAGAAGAAGAAGAAGA